TTGTTCGTCGCTCGGCTTATCCTTTTTGGGCGTAACAAATTATATTATTTTATCCTATTAATCTTTTTGTTATCACTTTGAATCCTTTCAGGAAAGTGTCTTGTAAATCCAAACACTTGTGTATTTTGCTTATTTATTGTTTTTACAAAACACATTGAATGTTCATGTTATGACACACCATCTGAGTATAAAATCTGAACAAAGAGACCAATACCAGTCATACATATCGAAACAAAAACACATTGAATGTTCATGTCATGACACATCACCTGAATATCAAATCTGAAGAAAGAGACCAATACCAATCATACATATCGAAACAAAACATATTATTAGTTTTCAGACACATGTAAAAATAATTGTTGTATTTTGTGTAGATTAACTTGTATCACAGTAACAAATTTCAATTACCGCATTTTATTTATATAAGCCTCAAGTGAAAAATAAGGATGCAAAATGACAAACTTTGGATTCTTGTTTGAGGAACTACTAATGGTAAGTCGGTGATTTTTGCAGTTGTTTTATCACTGGCATATTTAAGTCCTATAGAGAATATGTTTACCGGCCTATACAGTAATAGTTTCATGATGTTCCAATGGTTTTTGTATTGGTTAAATTCTACACGTAGTATTTATTATAAATAAGCATTTTGGAAATCGCTAATGGTTAGACAGTGATATTAAATAATCTGTAGCTAGTTTTATCAGTAATACATCTCGTTTAAGTTAAGATTAAATGTATTACTTTAGTTAAAGTTAATTTGCGTTCTACATATTAAATTATTGTTATATTTGCAAAATACAATCAAAGTACAAAGAACAGGTAAGACATTGAACTCTGTCAATAGTTTAACTTCGTGTTTTGATAAAACGAAACATTGACTAGCTTTCTATACTGAAAGGGTTTTCCTTATTAGTGAAAGCTTTAAGGTTTTGTGTAAATTTTCATTTTGTTCCTGGTTCTGAAAGGAAAGTTGAATCTCAGACAATCTGATATTCACATTAGCGTTTAAACTTTCATTTGCTAGGAAACCTCTTGTTCGAACGCATAACAATATCTCTGGCTGAATTGTTTCATCGCATATTTTTAATTGTGCTTGAGAATGACCTGAAGGAAATAAAAGAAAATGCGTTTCATCGCATTACTATCATTATTTCTTGAGCATTAACTGAATGAGATATAAATTGATATGTCTGTTTTATAGTAAAACCCCCATACGAACATACGAAAGTTTTATTCTGATTCGGTTCAAATATAACAATACAAACATAAGCTCTTAAGAGCTTTTAACCGAATATAGAATAACATAAACAAAACATTAAAACACACAACATGCAGACAAGATATATAACAGCACAGGCGTATTGAAATACATGCAAAGCACTACTAAAATACATATCTAAACAAGCCAAAGCTGAAGCACAACTAAAATTTAAGCAAAACTAAAATCAAGCACAAATAAAAATATAGCACACATGCACGCATTTAAGGCATAATAGCATGTTAGAGCAACTTCTTAAATATGAAAAAGCTTATTTTATGAAGAACAACAACATTTTGAACCATTTCAAGACTGTATAAGTCTTTTAAATTGAGAAAAACTGTTTTCAGTCCTGAAATGGTCAGGTAGGCTTTTTCACAGAGTAGCAGTTGCAAATTTTAAACTTTTCTTACCAAACTGTGTAGTTTGTACATGTGGTATATCCAGTATATTACTATATCTGAAAGAATATTTACAATCTTTTACATTTAATAAATCATGTCAACAGACAGGTGCTAATTTATTGACTATATTAAAAATTCAATAGCCATTGATCTTTGTCTTTTAATATGCAGTGTTGGCATCTTAGCCTTTTCAAGCAACTGTTGAAATGAGCTTGAATGGTCTTTGTACTCAAACCCTAGTGCTCTTTCTTGCACTTTTTCTATTTTTTTTTAATTTGTCTCGGTACAAAAATGCCATGCCAAAGGGCAGAAATTGAAATTTGACAAAATAAATGTATGGAAAATAGTAAGCTTACTTAGCTTGTTCAAATAAGCTTCCAAACGTTTCAAAATATTTACTTGCTGAGATGCCTTCCTGCATATTTTACCAATATGAATATCAAAATTTAGCTGATAATCTATGTCATTGCCAATTAATTTGACAGTTGCCTCACACGGAAGATCAGCATTTTGGATACGTATAGATGGATTTTTGTTATATGTCTTTTTCCCAACTGTTAAGACCTGAAATTTTTCGGGGTTTGCCTGCATTTTATTTATTTTGAACCACTCAATAAGTTTGAGTGATTCAGATTCCAAAGTAGAAATCAAAACATCATAATCAGGACTACAGTAAGATAAAGTATTGTCGTCTGCATAATTATACAGAGTTCCATTTTTATAAATAAGAATATATCATTGATAAAAACATTGAATAGTAGGGAGCCCAGGATAGAACCATGGGTAGAACCCCAATTATGAATTTCAGCCCAACTGCTAAGAATACTATTTATTTTAATTTGTTGTTTCATTTTTGTCAAGTAAGATTTAAGAAGTGAAATAAAATGAACAGAGACACCATATGCTGATAATTTATCAAGCAGAATTGCATGTGGTAGGCAATCAAAAGCCTTTGAAAGGTCCAATAAACAGCAGCTATATACTGGTTTTATATTATGTTGCACGCCAATCTTCTTGCAGTCGTAACAGTGTGGTCTGACACCCATGGCCACGTCTAAAAGCACACAGATTAGGATGAAGAATAATTTAAAAAAAATCACAAAGTTGAATTTCAAAAACCTTTTCATAAATTTTAGAAAAAATGGAAGAACGCTGACAGGCCTAAAATTGGCTTTGTCAAGTTGGTTGGTTTTCTTGTGCAGTGGTGTTACTTGAGTAAGGAATATCGTTTACTATGAAAAGGTTCATATATGAAATGACCTGTATTTCAGAAAAAAAGATTTAACAAACTTGTGAACCAACTGTCCTCCTCTCCTTCCCGACTTTTTCTCTTAGTCTAACGATCAGACTCCAAATAGTAGCTTGTCAGAAAGAAAGTAAAGCAGCTGGTATTATCTTTCAACTTTACGTTCCACCATATAAATGAGGTAATGTCTATTAATATTTCAAAGTGCGATGACTATGTTCAGAGCATCTATTCTCTCGAACTTGAAATACACTTGAATATACTGTCTGTCTGTCTCATATCTCGATTAACACTAAGGTATTGATAATGAAGTTCAGAGAATAAAAAACAATCCGAAACTCCTGCATCACCACTGTTTATTTGTTTTTAGAAAGTTTTTTTACTTTTTAAATCAGTAATCTCTTGTTTTTTTTACCATATTAACTAGAATATATTAACCCTTTCTAGTGCAGGGCACCTGGCAGAGGGCACTCTGTATTTATTTTACATATCCCATTTGCCAAGGCAAATTCAAATGGGTGAAAAAAGCCCCAATTCTATAGTATAGGTTGCTGTCTTGTAATTGACTTCTCCATAGGCTTACATGCAAATCAGCTGATCTTTGAAAATAAAAAAAAAATAAAAGATTCTACATAGATATTTTTTTCATGTTTATATCATGTATGTACTAATGTGAAATTGTGATTTAATCGAAAAAAGTGTGTGAAGCCACGAAGAATAAAAAGGTACGTAACCCTGAAATTCAAAACAATTTTTTTCTACTTTCTGTTTGCTGTTTTAACTAGGCCTCACCACTTCCAGTAAACATGATATCCTTGCACTTTCCGGGATTGATATCTCAAAAAAGATGCAATTTTTTTTTTTAAACCAAAAATATGTTTTAATTCAGCATAAACGTTTAATCAAACAGAAAAATTGAGTCCAGAAAAAAAATTCAGACAAAATGGACTATTTTATTTCCCTCCATATTTTGACATGCACCGGAAACTGGAGTTGTAATACAAGACTGGTACCTATATATATTAAAAATAAAAAATTGCATCTGATTGCAATAAGTTACTGTATACTTCACACTTTGAAATTTACATTTACAGATAATTTTATCCTTTTAACATGTTTAAGATTACAATTATAACAATATTTAACATTCATTTATGGTCTTCGTTTGATTTAATAAAAGCTGTTTTCATCAGTTTTTTTCTAAATTGTGTTGATAATCTTGGATTTATCTTTTTTTTCACCTATTCGATATATGTTCATGTCTTTCATAACAGGGATTGTGTTTCTTATCATGATTTCCTTTTAAGAGTGTGGATGCTCACAATGAAGCTATTTAAGTTCCGGATGATGAAGATGAAATCATCCATTCGTAAATTTTACGAAAACCTTCATCATTTGGTTGCCCGTCATGGAATATCTGTCTCACTGATGATGACGGTTAAATATTGATTGTTGTACCCACAATCCCACCCCTTTATCCCCAAATTTGACCACCCGAATTAGATTTTGACCTGGTTTTTAACTAACATCAGCACCACGATAGGTACCACATGTGGAGTAGGATCTGCTTACTTTTATCAGTATCGGAGATCACCCCCGGTTTTTGGTGTGATCCGTGTTGTAATTTCAGTATTGTTGTTTATTTGTTGTCTTTTTTTTTTTTCCTCTTTATTCATTTCGTTGTCAGTTTATTTTCTACTTTTGCTTTTATAAGATATACACTGCAAATTAATTATAAATTTGATATAATTTTGTACTGGTATTTGCAATTTTCACTCAATATCAATATCATATTTAAAATGTTTAAGTATTGGAGTAACAAAAACTATGTTTCAATATTTTAAAAAGCTTTCGGACGCTTTGTTGGCGTTCTGTCTCGAATATGTTTAAGTCATTATACAAATTTTTTACCACCGCTTGTAACAATTTTTAACAGAGGAAAAGAGGCAAACTACAAGGGAATATTCAAACTCATAAGTTGAAAACAAACTGACAATGATTTAATGATGACAATATGGCCAAGTTAAATTTTCTTTGTGTGTACTTTAAATACATAATTAACTTTATAAATTTTAATAAGATGTAAAGAGGCCTTAAACTACATATACTTTATTAATTGACAGAGAATCCGTAAGCATAAATACGTGGCGTGCAATATTAATAAGATGGTATTAAATAAAGTTTATTGTCATACAAAATCATACACGAAAGCGTTTCTATCATTATTATTAGCAACTAAAAGTTTATTGTTTGATCGGTCGTACTCTACAGCTGCCGGACAGTTCAGTCCATCTTTTGTCGATAAAAGTTTTCTATGACGTTGACCATCGACGGTGATAACGACCACATTGTGAGTCCATACTCCCGCTACATATACGTTCCCATCATTCTCGACAGATATACCGAATGGGTGGTTCAGGACACTGCTTTCACTGAATGTCCACAGGGTGTTACCATGGAAATCACAACATGTGACATTGTGATTGTTTTCGTTTGTGTAGAACAGGTTTTCACCGTGAGTAGCTATGTTAGCCATACTTGACATTTTACTAGAGGTGATACTGGTTATAGATGCATTACTGAGACTGATCATCTTGAGTCCCTGATCTCCTGCACAATAAATCAACTTTCCATCTTTGAATGTTACTCCGTAATTGGCCGAATTGACGTTAAAAGCTTTTTTCACTTTTCTGTTTAGAACATCGATTATGTTGATCTGCTTTGAATATACTGTTCCACCTGATGTAACAGCTACCGAATTATCTCCTATATATACAACGTCCCAAATCGGCCCAATATTGTTAAGATTGATATCAGCCGAACCGTCTGGTTTTAAAACGCTTACATGGTTTCCATTACAACTTGCAAATACTAATCTACCATCAGGAAGGAAAGTACATCTTCGGACAGCCTCCAGGTTTGTTTTTATTGTTTGTTTTAACTTTAGACTAATATCATCGAAATGTTTTGTTGAAGGAGGTACAATTATCTGAGCTTGTTTATTTCTCCCTTGCTGGATGAGTATATTACAAGCACTATAACTCATAACAACTTCTCCAAGCGTCTTGATTGTAATTGTTAATTCCTGCAACGTTGTATCTTTCTGAAATAAAATATCGATGTGATGCATTTGTTCGCTTTTGCTGATCGATTGGATATAACTCTCTTCTTTAAAAATATCCTTTTCTATTTGCTTCATCGCAATGAATGATTGAAGATCTGAGGCATATCGCTTTGTGTTTTCGATATTAACTTTGTATTAGAAAATCTCCTTTTCTCTCTGCATTAATGACGTCAATAGTTGTCGAATTTTGCTACTTTCGTTTTCTTCTGTCGTTTCGATTTCATTCAATAACTTATCTTGCAGTAAATCAAGATGGTCAATAATTTTGTTTCGAAATTGTTGAATTTCCAATTTAACAATCTTTCTCCTCTCTGCAAGTGATGCCAAATTTTCCTCGCGATTTTTACGGACTCTTTTGAAATTCTCAGCAGTTTCTGACAACGCGTGTTCCATTTCCTGGAACGGAGTTAAAGATTTAACATTCTGGATCACGTTCCTGATATCAGTTAAATCTTTACAGCCGTTGTGATCCTCTATACATTGCCTATAGCATGGACAGTCGTGTTTTCTACAGAAAAGTTCGAATTTTTCGTTATGTTTGTTGCAAAATTGCGCTATTTGCAAAATATTTGCTGGTAGTTTAAGATATTCGGTAATTGAGACCGTTTCATGACTTCTTGAACTCTTAGAAAAGCTGTGATGCTCTTGACAATCTTCACAAAGTCCTTCGTCACATTCTGAACACCAGACTACTGATGGTTTGGTCACATGACGATGATCACAGACACCACATACATTCGAGTTACTGGCCATTATTCTGAAATATAAAATTAGATAAATATAATCAATATAGGAAAACTATTGAAAAAAAATATTGTTGTTGCAATTTTTCCTTTCAATTTAATAATTTAATTGTCATTTCAGTCTGTTTTTGGGAGTTCTATCAAAATGATTACCTTTGTCTGTTTAATTGTTTAAGAGAAATGTTTGTTTCATTAGATTGTATCTGGCAAAGTAAAATAATACCCGTCTATATCTTTGTTGAATTTGGAAAGAACTAATTCCTGTCGATACTAACAAACAAACATATTTGAAGTGAAAACTGTTGTTCATCAAAGGTACCAACGGGTTCGATCCACTTTTTGATTACTCTTCATAATTTGCACTATTACTAAGCTTTATGTAGACTTTATGTCACACACATATTCGTTGATAAAGGAATAAAGACAGAAAACCGCTTAACAAACAGTTAATTTCATATTCCGACACTGAGTCAATACCACTGCTTGTCACTCTCGTAAGTCAAATTGACCTTTAATGGACTAGGCTACTCTTGTATGTCCATTTTAGTCATATAGCTTCTAACGTGTAGAAGTTCATTTACACCCTTAGCTTTCATTTTTTAATTATTTATTATAATATGTATGTTCTCAGCAACGTTCAGTAGTTTAATTTCGTCATAAGAATCCGTTCTAGAACATATACATTTAGATAGAAAAAGGCCGGCCTGTTTTGATATTTGCAAGCTAAAGTCCATTAACAGCTAATTATGATGCAAACAGAATAACAAGATAAAAATTAAGTAAAAACTTAACCTAAAGACATACAGACCGACGGATTCGTATGTGCACTAGAGCATTGGTTTATTGTCTTTGAGTGTGAGAAGAACAACGCTGTATATCTAAATATTTGCGGTTTGACTTTTTGATTGCTGTATTAGATTTCACATTCGAATTCGTTTACTATTTTAGAATCGAATTTTCAAATTAACAATAAATGAGTATTTCCATTTTGGTAAAAAAAATTTATAACACTTTGTTTTAACAAAGTAACATTTACGTACGGCACCAAATGCTTGTAATATGAACTATTACAAGTATATCAACCGTTGTTCTATTTACATATTCCAAAAGAAATAATATTTGATCGAAATTAGAGAATATTATGCCATTCGTACAGATAGAAAGCAGTGGAAGATTTATGCAATATTTTGTTATAGTCCGTTTGACTTCTATAAATCTTCAGAAAATAATTCTTAAAAATTCATTTTTGCAAATTAACATTTTTTTTCTTGATGTATGTTAATGTATGATATATACGAACTCTGACTATGAATATCATAATTTTGGGCCAATAATCAAAAAAGTTACCCATGAGGTCTCTATGTTACTTCTATTTTTTTTCTATATAAAATACTTGATGGAGTAAGTATGAATAGTGTAACAGCCTTCCATTCAAAACAAAAACATTAGACATGTGTTTTAAACCTGTTTCATTGTACCATGTGACTTAACTCATTTAAATATCAAAGGACATTATACATGTCATGAAAAATGACCATCATCTAAGTTTTGTTATAATTGGTTTTATATGATTTTATAAATGAACTTCCATGTATCTACAAAGATGTTATTTGTGGGAAAAAATATTGTAATCAGATGTTTTATTTTGATTTTATTCCTTACCAAATCTTAATTTTTGTTACCTTAATTTGATTATATATTTATATATATCTTATAAAAGAATATATTAAGCAAGCTTTTCATGCTTAAAGCATGATGACAGTATTAACAAAATGGAGAGCCTCTAAAAAGTTTCACCAATAAGTATTTACAGAATACATTTAATATTTACTTTTTTCTTAAAAAAACACAGCTTATGACTTTCAAAATATGAAAATAAAATTAGATAAAATATAACCATAAAGACCATTACTGATGAAAAGGGGAACTTTTTAATAAAATTTCTAAAGTGAATTTTGCATAAAACTACTATGTAGTTTTTAAAAACGTTATACTAGTAATGTCCAGTGGAAAATATTACTAAGGTTACTCATAGAAATTGAACAATGAAAAATACAAAATAATGTATACAATAAGTTCAGTAATCACATGACATAAAACTTAAATGAAGTCCAAGTTTGTTTGCTGGTCAGCGTTATTTAAATGAGGAAAGTCACATGGTATAATGAAACAGGTTTAAAGCACATGTCTTATGTTTTTGTTTTGAATGTAAAGCTGTTACACTATTCATACTTACTCCATCAAGTATTTTATATGAAAAAAATAGAAGTAATATAGAGACCTTATGGGTAACTTTTTTGATTATTGGCCTAAAATTATGATATTCATAGTCAGAGTTCGTATATATCATACATTAACATACATCAAGAAAAAAAAATTTTATTTGTAAAAATGAATTTTTAAGAACTATTTTCTGAAGATTTATAGAAGTCAAACGGACTATACATTTGACCCATTTTTATTTCAGCTAAAATTGGAACCTAGATATTGAAATCAAACATTGTGTCAAAATCAAATCTGAAGTTGAAGTTTAACTCAATTACTAGACTTATTTGTAAAAACAACTTAAAAGAACTAAATGGCAGCACGAAAAAAATATATATAAATATATGTATATACAAGTCTAAATTGAAAACAACGTTCAAACCTATGATTGCGTTGGATAAAAACCGCAATTTTTATACGTGTGCATGTAACACAAATTTCTTGGTAGAGGGGTCTAAATACAGCACAAAAACATTTTCCAAAAGACCAAAATAGTGAAAAAGTATATTTTAACAAAACGCATTTGACTAACAGGTCGAACAACGGATGTTTTTAAACCCTGCTGACTGCCATTGGCGATTCCCAAATATATATATATATGTACTAGTCTATTCCTTTCATATTGTTAATGTAAACTTTAAAGAAGGTCAAATGGAAACAATTATTGAAATAAATAGATATGGTTAGATAAAATTGGTAAACAAGTAATGGCGAAGCAGTTATAAGCGTTTAACGTAGACAACGTATGTTTTTGGTTAAACATTAGTATTTATAACGAATAAAGTTCAAAGAAAAACTATGTGCTCAAGGTTCTATAGAACAGATGAGAGTTAAATCATTAAATACCTCTAATTTTCTGATGCGTGCATGTTCATCAAAACCAAAAGTTAACCCGGAAGGTAATTTGTCATGTGATCATATTTACATGTCATATCTGATGTCGATTGGCGGTAATTTCAAATTTACTTGCCGATTAACAAAAATCAAATTTTAATAAATTTTTATCCTAACATGTTTTGCTGTACATATATATATATATAAATATATACAAGTCTAAATTGAAAACAACGTTCAAACCTATAATTGCGTTGGATAAAAACCGCAATTTTTATACGTGTGCATGTAGAACAAATTTCGTTATAGAAGGGTCTAAATACAGCACAAACAGCATTTTCCAAAAGACCAAAAGAGGGAAAAAATATATTTTAACAAAACGCATTTCACTAGCAGGTCGAGCAACTAATGTTCTTAAACCCTGCTGACTGCCATTGACGATTGCCAAATAAATTGATCACAAGGTGTAACAAAATGGATCTCTATATTAATTTAATACCAAGTAGAATACAATACATTTGCAGCAAAGATGGTAAACCACAACATGAGGTGCTAATTTTTTTTACAAAATATCCGGATTTCGACAATTAATGTCTCTTCAGTGATGTTAGGAATCGAAAAGTATTTGGAAGGCTATTTAATTTACCTCAATTTAGGATGAACGGATTATATAAACCGGAGGGAAAATATAATACAAGCCCAAACGAAATAAATATAAACAAGTCTAAATTGAAAACAACGTTCAAACCTATGATTGCATTGGATAAAAAACCGCAATTTTTATACGTGTGCATGTAACAAATTTCGTTGTAGAAGGGTCTAAATACAGCACAAACAACATTTTCCAAAAGACCAAAAGAGTGAAAAAATATATTTTAACAAAACGCATATATTCAACAAGTTCAATATTTTGGCTGTACGTTTGCTGATTTTGTCAGTCTTTCGACTCGTCATCTTTGGCAGATACGAGTTATGTTATCGTTTCCTATTGAGATGTTTAATTTTTTGAATGCTCTAAGGAAAGCGTAATATCATTTCAAACACTTGCATATTTAGCATATTATTCGTTAAGACAAAACATATTGAATGCACTCGGTATGACACATTTCATGAGTACTAAATTTAAGAACACAATGTGCAATATCATCAAATCATAGTACGTCACACCCGGTTGCATACAAATCCTACATTTTATTGCATTAAAACATTTCTGAGTCTTTACCATATATATATATATCTTGTGTATTTGAAAGCACCATTATATTTTTAATTGGTTTTCTATAGAGCATTTTAGAAACTTGAGCATGTTGAGGTTACTTGGTTACTAAATTTTGTACACAGATAGAAAAGAGTTGGTAATTTGATTGGTTAACTTCCAGTGATGGTTATTATCTTATATGCAATGAAATATTATGTGAAAGTTTATCTATTGCACAAGACAGTACAAAACTTTACTCATGTCAAGTATTTCGTTAATAGAAACGAAGATAACTTCTGCACAATATTTTGAAAAGTTCAAATTTTATAAACACATATAGGGGAATATCAATGATGGTATTACACCACAAGCCGATAACAGTCCATTCTGTAAAAAGAGTAGGAACATGAAGAGGCAAGAACGGCCCTGTTTCAGAAATTGACGAAATCACCTTACAAGGACCACTTAATCGTTTAATTCATAAAATGGTAACCATAAGACTTGTAACTGTGTTTTTATAATTTTACAGAGCGTCAAAAAAGACGTACATTGGTATTCTAGCCATTTATGCATAACATAAAATTATTTTCATGAACGTTCTAGTAATTTTATAATTATTTTAGCCCAAGAATTGATTTATCAAGTATTTCTCGAATCTCGTCCATATATCTTGTTTTTTTTTAACTCTATTAACAGAAACTTACTAACATTTAAGTTTAAGCTGAACAAATGCGTTTTAATAAAATTTCGTATAAGTGGCCCGAATACATGCTATTCACGAAATAAAAATTGCAGAGACCATGAAAACAAAAATAATTATGAGGAAGACAGATTAAAAATGACACTCCGTAAATTTTACGGACACCATCACGAATTGGTTGATCCATACGATGTGTCTTTGTCCAAACTAACTAAGGACATTTTTACCACGTGTTAGATTGTGGTTTGTCATTACGTCGTCTGATCTTTTAATTACCGAACGTGACTTATTCCCGATTGTGACTGTTTTGCTGAGTGTGAATTCGCATTGCTATAAGACGTGTCACGGTATTTTCCTAACAAAATTCATGTATTTAGTTTTGATGTTATATTTGTTATTCTCATCGGATTTTGTCAAATGTCTTATCTTTTGTAGTTTAAATCTTATATTTTTCTGTTGTATTCGTGTGTTATGGTAACGATAATTAATCATTCAGTTCATTTATTAGATTTTTGTTTGGGTCAACTAAATTTATACGATATATTTGGTTTACAGTTTGATTTAGAAGAAACACCGACATAGCTAGATAATACAATTAATTATCTAATTACTATCACAATTTGATATTAATTAGTATTGTAATTTTCATTGTTATTAATAAATGTTATATCAGTATTACAAACCTAATCTTGAATTCTATCCTAATTCTATCCTATTTTTAGGAAATTTTTTGAAATTCAAATGTGACGTCACGTCGATTTGGCTAACTCGGCTGTGAATTTTTATGTGCTGGTTTAGGTTGTTTTATGTATCTGTTTTTATTCTGTAGTTAATCACCGGTTTTATCATGTATATCTATTATATAGTCATTTTATGAAAATTTACTGTTTGCAAAAGTATGAATTATTCTAAATAATAAGGATGTTCTTATCCAAGGCAGAAAACCCTAGCTGTATTGGGCACAACTTTTTGGAACTTCTGGTCCTCAATGCTCTTCAACTTTGTACTTGTTTTGGCTTTCGAACTTTTTTCATCAGAGCGTCACTGGTTAGTCTTGTGTGGACGAAACGCGCGTCTGGCGTATTAAATTTTAGACCTGGTACCTTTTGTTAGCTATTATTCGTGTGTTTCTCTGTCCTATATGTTCTCCCATTTATTTGTATTGTAGTCCTGTCATGTAATGTTGTCATTTTAATGTTATATTTAACATTGCCATAAAAGCGGGAGGTTTGGCATGCCACAAAACCGGGTTCAACCCACCATTTTTTTTTTATTTAAATGTCCTGTACCAAGTCAGGAAAATGGCCATTGTTATATTATAGTTCGTTTCTGTGTGTGTTACATTTTAATGTTGGGTTTCTGTTGTGTCGTAGTTCTCCCCTTGTATTTGATGTGTTTCCCTCAGTTTTAGTTTGTAACCCGGATTTGTTTTTTTCTCAATCGATTTATGAATTTCGAACAGCGGTATACTACTGTTGCCTTTACTTAGCATATATTAAATTAATAATCATAATGGATTTTAAAAACGTAAGCAATGAATGTCTTCTATTTGGCAGAAAGAAATTAAAGAGAAAGCTGTGATATATCTTGGCGAGCAAAGTACAGTCGTAAAAAGTGTATGAGGATAGTTGATCACACAACATCATCTTATTTGTTTATTGAAAGAAAACCCGTGATTCACGTAAACTCAGAACATTTTATTTTCTAGTAGAGAAGTAAAAGAGAAAACACAGAAATATACCACCAATATGTATAGACATACATAGCATTACATGTAATTAAATAATCATAAAACACAATATAATTGTACAAAGGTTATCAGACAACAGACCCACACGTGAACTCATAAACATCATTCTCATTATGTGGGATCAAATGCTACGCTCAGGATAAAATTCGAATATCACGGCCCAGGTCATGTATAAATTTCCAACCAATCTATGACTCCCATGAATTATTTCTTAACTGACTATTATTTCAAAAGCAAATCTAATCATTGAGTTAAACCCCACTGAAATTGCTAAAGAAATAAGCAATTTATACAAAGTATAACTAAATTATTGTTTTTGACCCCTTTAATTAATAAGTTATCAAAGGTACAAGGCTTATACTTCAGACGCGCGTTTCGTCTACATAACACTCGTCAGTGACGGTTAGATCAAAATATTTATAAAGCCAAACAAGTACAAAGTTGAAGGGCACTGGGGATCCAAAATTCCAAAAAGTTGTGCCAAATTCGGCTAAGGTAATCTATGCCTGGGATAAGAAAATCCTTAGTATTTCGAAAAATTCATACTTACGGCAGACATTATCTGTTAACCAAGCTCTGTTCTTTACCTATAAATAAATTAAATAAAATTTTAGAGGATTGCAACACAATTTCATATTGCAGTCCTAAGTATGAAATCGTTCAAATTATAATGGCATATTGTTATTCTAAACTGTTTCCCAACATTGATCGCCCTGAAGATCATAAAAAACATTTTATTAAAATAAAGTATGTCAATAAAGGTTTTGATTTTGTAAATATTTCCGGTATTTTTAAAGACCATTCTGTTAAAGAACAAATTCCTGGATATTTTGATAATACTGAACTCCCTCTTATTTGTTATATTTACATGAAATCTACCCAGAAATATGTGTTTAATTATAGCCAAGTGTGTAAAAATGTAAATATCAGTGAAAATACACCTATGTCATGTAATTGCAGTAATTCCGAATACACTTATGGCCCCATTTCCCATGTTATAACAGGAGACCTTAACATCGTTCTCGACCGAGAGTTAAAATCATTCCTCAGTAAAGGACCTAAAAATCGTCCCCCGTCAATTACTATTTGGAATGAGTGTCGTAATATCATCCACGACTCACTCCGTACTTACTGTTTGAAATGGATAAAACGGGAAAAGGCTGACAAAAAATCTTAGGATTCTTTTTTTAATTCAGTAATGAAGATAGTTGATATACGTATACAACATTTTAAAGAACATTTTACTCTTAACAACAACCATAAAAACCCTATTTCGAGTATCAAACATAAACTAAAAGAACTAGCCAAGGAATTTGTTTTTGTCCCGGCTTATAAAGCTGCTAATAATATCATTATTGTTTGAAGTAAATTTTACATTGAGGTTCTGCAAAGGGAAATCACGAA